TTAAAAAGTCAGGTTCCTGGGACCTAATTTCCTCTCTAGAATAAAAGCTTCTAGAGGTCAAACCCTGTATCTTAGGTCATTCTTATAAAACCATCAATTTTGGCACACCCTTCTGCAAGCAACAGGAACCCTCCCACTTCTTCTGTGACCTTGTCCCACACTAGATACTAAAATTCCAAGCAAACAAGGCTGCCTCTCCCTTCCTTCATGTCTTTGCTTGGCTGTCTCCCCTCTTTCCCTAATGTAAGTTGACTCATCTTTTGAAGCCAAAGCCAAAGCCAAAAGCCAACGTTCCAAGGAAGCCTTCTATGAAACTGAGGTCCCAGCTGAAACTTTCTCTTCTGGACCACATCAAAGCACCTCCTGTCCATACTAGTTACACCTCATTGACATCCCCCCTACTATTGTATTCACAGAGGTAAGGCATTCCCTGTCTTACTCTCAAATGGACTGTAAGCTTCTGAAGGTCAGAAGTTCTCCAAGACCTATTGTGTGGTGGGCACTTAAGTTATAATATCTTGTTTCATTCTTCCAACAATTCCAAGAGGTACGTATAATGATCTCACTTTACAGGTGAGGAAACCAAGGTAGGTTGGCATGCTGAAGGCTGCAGAGGTAGGTGAGGGTAGTGCGAGTGTGATCCTCCTTACCAGCATTCCCTCACAGGGCAGGGCTTCCAGCAGGTGGCCTTAGCACCTGGGCCACTGCCATGTTCCTGGGCCAATGGGCACTTACCACACATCCTGAGGAGTCCACCTGCCGGTCAGATACACACTTGAAGTTGCGAGTGCAGCCCCCATTGTTCCGAGAGCAGTCACGAACTGGCCCGAAGGAGGACAGCAGGTCATTGATGGTTTCAAAGTATGTGGACAGCATCGCTTCTTCCCTTGGAGAGAAAGGGGATGGTTAAACCCCAGAGACATTGGCATCCCTAGATTTAAAAAAATGTGAATTCAATACATTTGAAACCATAACTTATTCATAATCAGGAAAATAATAACAATCAATATTACAAAAAGGAAACAACAACAGGTATACCATCATATGACACGGTGCTTGTCAAGTTGTGATACAGAGAAATAGACCTAGAACTCTATACTCTTTATTTCATTAATACTTATGATTCTTGGAGGCAGTCATGAGATGTACACTTTACTATAAGTGAACTGTGGCTTAGCAAGGTGAAGTATCTTGGTGAAGGCCAGCAGCTTACAATGTGACAGAAGTGAAGTTTGTATTAACTTCCAGCTGAGTCCAAAGAGAAGGCTCTTCTCACTACCTCTTAGCTTGCATCCTACCTGTTTCTACAGATTTCAGAGCTCCCTATAGCAACTCTGCAATTGGGCACATTCCTATTATTCCAACTTTGTGAATATAAAATTGAAACCATGAAAGATTGTGGGACTGACTCCAAATCCAACAGTCTATAAACAGCAGAGCCAAGACATAAACACAGGAGTCTGACCCTCTAGGGCCCTAGATCCTTATTTTTCAGACTATTGTGTATAAGTCACACCATCGAGACTGTCAGCAACAGTTGTTGGAAAGGTCATGGGATTCCAGGGAAATACATGATTCCTCCCAAATGAGGTTCTTAAAAGATAAGACTAGACTTGATACCATAATCCATGGATCTGCCAAAATTTTATGAGATGGAATTCTCTACAATGGAGGATGCAGATGGGAGCTTCTGATGCTGTCTTCTGCAGAAAGGGCCCGAAATAAGAGATACACTTGCACTGGGGTATATGATTTCCACACTTACAGGAGATTTTAAAGGAGCACCATGAGCAGTGAGAAGAAGCACATATCCTTCCCTGGTCTGTGCCTCATGAGGTCCAGAGCTGTGAAGCAAGGGAAATGAAGCAGGAAGAGGCTAGCACACACTAGAGGGGGTATCTCTGCACCATCCTGCATACCTTCTCCCATTCTTCTCCACCTCAGGCTTGGACCAGGTTTGAAACTCCTAATTCATTTCCTGCCTCCAGTCTTACCCCTTCTGTCCCATCTTTCATACTGACTGTCAGTGAACTTGGTAAATCGCAGCTCTAATTAGATATTCCTCTGATCAATAGCTTCCCAGTACTTAGAGAAAAAATATAAATTAACTTCTCTGGCATTCGGACTTCATAATCTGGTCCCTGATTACCTGTCCAGCCCCATTGACCCTCTCCTCATATCTCTATCCACTAGGTACAGGCCTCATCTCATTCCCTGAACACAGAATCTCTGAAAACAGGTTCTAAACTGGAAAGTTACATGCAAGAGGTTTATTGACAAGCCCTCTTGGGAGATGCATCTGTAGAAGGCGAGGAAGGGCTGGGCGTGGTGGCTCACGCTTGTAATCCCAGCACTTTAGGAGGCCTAGGAAGGAGGCTTACTTGAGCCCAGGAGTTCAAGATCAGCTTAGAAAATGTGGCAAAACCCTGTCTCTACAAAAGTTTTTTTTTAAATTAACAGGGTTTAGAGGAGCATGCCTGTGGTCCCAGCTACTGAGGAGGCTGAGGCGAGAGGATCTCTTGAGCTACAGTGAGCCATGATCAAAACCCTGTCTCAAAATAAAATAAAATAAAAAATAAATGGCAAGCAAACAAGGCAGGATTTGGTAAAGGGAGAGACTGACCTACAATGCGGGTCTAAAGCATCAGTTGATCCTGCAGGGAGCTCTGGAGCTGAGAAGGCCCTTTATGGATGTCCTGAATTAAGGCAAGGAATCCAGGCCTTTGCATCCCCACAGTAGCCAGTCATTGGTGGGGGCTGCTGTCTGGAATGGGATACACTTGGATAAGCCAGTTCCCTGAGGCTGAAGGCAATGCCTAGTCACTGACAGCCACAGCTGGTGGGTGGGTGGGCTGGCCCTGAAGAGGGTATCTGGGTGTGGTACCTGCAGGCACCTCTCTCCATCCCTAATCATGCTCTTCCTTCTGCCTGGGATGCCCATTTCCAAATGCTTACCTGATGAAATCCTAAGAATCTGTCTTTGAAAACTCTTCATACTCATTCATTCATTCATTCATTCATTCTTTCATATATTATAAAAGCTTACTGAGTGCTTACCACCTAGCACAATGCTAGGTGCTGGGGACACGGCAGTGACATTAGGCAAGGTCCTGACTCCCGAACTACACAGTAGCTTTATGTTACCACCTTTATGAAACCTTCTCTGCTTCCCCCTACTAGAATTAATTCCTTTTCCCTGTGAGCATATTGGCTAAATCTTTTAACTTATTGATCTTAATTATCAGCTTCACAGTCTCCCAGAGAGACTATAAGCTTTTAAAGGAAAAGGCTCAAGATTTATTCGTTTCTCTTTAGCCCTCCAGGGGCCTGGAAGGAACCTGTGCTAGGTAAACGTTTTCGAATGAAACACAGAAAACACCCAAAGGCTTAGACGCAGTCTTCACCAATGAGTAGTTTTACTAAGAACCTCCTCAGCAGGGCAGTCTTCTCTGTTTCCCCACCTCTGGGTCCCCGTTCCAAATCCTTCCTGTTCAGGGATGCAGCACAGGGACAAAGGAGAAGGGTGAGGCGCTGCCAGGATTATCCCTTGCTTCCTAACTTTGTATGCAGCCAGGTGACAGGTTTATGGGAGAGGAGAATTAACAGTTCCTGAAATGAACCTCTGGGGAGACTTGCCACTTTTGAATCATGAAGAGAGTTGAGGATCCTGGGAAGACATTAAGCCTATTAAAATATTAATACCCTAGAAGGGAGAAGAAGAAATGGAAAGTAAGAGGAGGAGATAAGGCAGAGGGACCCAGCTGGGCACGGTGGCTCACGCCTGTAATCCCAGCACTTTGGGAGGCCTAGGTGGGCTAGGTCAGGAGATCAGGACTATTCTGGCTAATGTGGTGAAACCTCATCTCTACTAAAAATATAAAAAATTAGCCGGGCATGGTGGCATGTTCCTGTAATCCCAGCTACTCGGGAGGCTGAGGCAGGAGAACTGCTTGAACCCGGAAGGCAGAGGTTGCAGTGAGCCGAGATTCTGCCATTGCACTCTAGCCTAGGTGACAGAGCGAGACTCCCATTTCAAAAAAAAAAGACAGAAGGACCTGAGAAAGTGAGAGAATAAGAGACAAACAGATAGAGAAACTGTTGAGAAGGAAAGAAGGGACACAGAGAGACAGAAACACATACAGTCACCTGGAAACAGATAAAGTATAGATGGACAGACAGAGAGACAGAGAGTTATAGAGGGACACAGGTCATAGAGACAGAGAGGAAAAGAAAGGCAAATAGAGGAGAGAAAGAATGTGAAAAGATAAAAATGAAAAGTTAGAATTGGAAAAAGGAAAGCAAAGAGAGAAACAGAGGCATAAGAAACAGATGAAAAGAGGAGACATCCTCAAGGTAAACAGAACAAATGAGTAAGTGTGCTGAGGAGAGGGAGAGAAGGTGGAAGGGGGAGTGAGAAAAGGGAGCAGGAGGAGACAAATGCAGAAAAGACAGAATGAAAGGGAAGAGAAAGACACTGAGTGAGAAAGAAAACAGAGGCCCGGTGCAGTGGCTCATGCCTGTAATCCCAGCACTTTGGGAGACTGAGGCAGGCGGATCACTTGAGGTCAGGAGTACGAGACCAGCCTGGCCAACATGGTGAAACTCCGTTTCTACTAAAAATACAAAAAATAGTCGGGCGTGGTGGCTCGCACCTGTCGTCCCAGCTACTCAGGAGGCTGAGGCAGGAGAATCGCTTGAACCCAGCAGGCAGAGGTTGCAGTGAGCCAAGATGGCACCACTGCACTCCAGCCTAGGAGACAGAGTGAGACTCTGTCTCAAAAAAAGAAAAAGAAAAGAGAAGAAAACACAGAGCCATGGAGAGCAGAGCCGGACAACAACAAAGAAACAAGGAAAGGGAAGTGAAAAACAAGCAAAAACATGTCACCTTTCTGTGGAACCTGGAGACAGTTCAAGTTATAAAAATACAAAGGCTGTCCGC